TAGTTAAAAATTTTGGTATATACCAAATACCAATATATACCAACCAAATTTGTTGGTAGCCAAATTAATTTGTACCAAGTACACTTGGTACGGTACTGGTAGCTAAAATCTTATACCAACTATAGTTGGTACGGTACACGGTTTGGAGAAAATAATCTCGGTACCGTACCAATTCCACCCCTACTTTTTTTATATGACAACGATGACAATTATATATGTATGTTTAATTATTATTTGAGAGAACATTACTTGCGCATATAAGGCTCATAAAGATCATTAGACCGGTGGGAGTGGTTGCGGTAGAGACCGCACCACCGGTGCCACATAGGCTGGAACACCGCCCCTCCATCGTAGTTTGGGTGCGGTGGAGGCCGCACTACGACTTCCCACGAGAGCACTCTTCTTTTCCACTTTTATCCAAAGTGACCGTTGAACGGCCGGATTTCTAAAATAAAAAAAGTTTTTTTTTGTTTCTATTTAACCTTTAAACTTTCCTATTTAAATCTCTCAAACCTTAACAAATTTTTTTTATCTTTCTACTACATTTCCTCTTAAAAAAAATTAAAAAATGCCGTCATCCAATTCTTCTGAAGACTTTGATATTATGTTTGATGTTTTTGTCGCTGCTGTTAAATTGGCGGAACAAACGTATGAAGCGACATGTAGTAGCGCAGTCGGAAGTGCAGAACGGAGAACCCGAATATATGTTTGTAGAAATCGTGAAGAGGCAAACCAACGCTTGATACAAGACTACTTTCAAGAACGCCCGATGCTAGAGATACACCCGATATAACGAGGGAGTGTGATCTTTTCCAACAACGCCCGATGCTAGAGATACACCCGGTTTCACCCCTTTACAAAAATACACAGCTGCACTTCGTCAATTAGCATATGGCATCCCTCCTGATGCGTTGGACAAGAGTTTTAGGATGTCCGCTAGGACTACACGAGATAGTCTCCATTATTTTTGCAAAACTATTATTCAACTTTATGGGCCAAAATATTTACGTAAGTCTACACGCAATGACATCATGAAATTGCAATCTCATCATGCTAACGTACATGGCTTTTTTGGAATGTTAGAAAGTTTAGATTGTCTATATTAGGCATGGGAAAATTATCCTACCTCACACCATGGTCAATTTACCCGAGGTGATCATGGGCATCCAACAGTCATACTTGAAATAGTGGCATCACAGGATCTGTGGATTTGGCATGCCTTTTTTGGTTCTCCTGGTTCTCTTAACGACATTAATCGTTCACCTATATTTAACAACTTATACGACGGATCTGCACCAGACTCTTCTTTCGAGTCTTTCCAATTGTGTGGAACACCATATAAATAAGGTTATTATCTAGTTGATGAGATCTATCCTGAGCAGGGCCGGCTCAACCAGTTTGGGGGCTCTAAGCGACCAAAAATTTGGGGCCCTTTGACATTTACTATACTTAATGTTATAAACCCTCCACCTTTATCCGGGCTTGGGACCGGCAATAATAAACTAAAAAGTTTACAAATGGCGGAGTTAAAAAAAAGTTATGTATATGTTTTTTGTGAATATATTTTATGACATAAAGTTAATTTTTCTAGCCTTTTTAGATGCAAATTCTTTAATGAAATTTTCATAATCAATTTCTTTTACTAAATGTTTTTCAATTGACAAAATAGATAATCCATTTAATCTTTCTTGTGACATTGTAGATCTTAAATAATTTTTTAACAGATTTAATTTAGAAAATGACCCTTTTTGTTTATCTGTAAAAACTTCTTCTTGCATTTTTCGTTTCCTTTTTGAGGCACCAGATTCGTATTTTCTCTTTGACATGATTATTAATTATTTGATTAATAATAACTATAAGTATAGAAGATATGGATTAGGATTATATCGCCTCTAAGATAATGGAAAACTCAAAAACAATGGAATCTGCCAATATGGATTCAGTGAACAATGGAATCAGCCAATCTGGAATCAGTGAACAATGGAATATGCCAATCTGGAATCAAAAATCATAAAGTTGAAAATATTAACAACTTTAATCATTCATGCCATTTGGATAAAGCCAAAAACAATTAAAATACAAATTACATAGCTTAATAATAAAACATTGTGTTTTAATCAGAAGACATTAT